CGGTGATTTACTAATAACAATTTGAAGGGGCTTGGAGACCAGCCTCCTCCCCACAGACTCTAGACCCTGTTACAGAATACCATATAAAGTACAAAATGACTATTCTCACCATCCCTGATGTTTTCACCTTTACCCAGCATTTGCTGCTTACTCAGACCAGGCTGAGGCATGGAAATCCTAGCATAGTTTGGAACAGCTGCAGCCAGTCAAACCTTTAACCGAGTGGCGATTGAACACCGCATGTAGAATCAAGGTACTCTTTAGGTGGTGGGAAACTGAGGGGGTGAGCTGGTCGTGCATGTCTTGGCTGTGGGGTTCTGTGTTGAGGAGATGACTCAGTGGGTGGGAGGGAGATTGTATTATCTTATTAACCCCAGAACTGACATCACAAGGGAGGGTTCCTCTTATGTTACCATAATTAACCCCAGCAGTTGGAATATACATGATGTATAAATACGTGTGGTTTCTGTGCAATACAGACTTCTTGTTTCACCCCTCATCAGGTCTTGGCTGATGTTTGGGGAAGTTGCTAAATGGGCTATAATCACTCTGGACATACGAGCTATATGAGGGAGACTAACAGAGTGACTATGGCTGAATACAAGAGCTCTGTTACATTGAGAAAGCTTCCAGATCACCACGGGGTCATTGTCTGGAGACCTAGTGGAGTAGTGCCTTCCCACTAAAGGTGGGAGAGAAAGCAAATATTAAGAGGCTAGATTCCTGGATTAGGGATACACAGCCTTACACTCCAGAGCCTGGTATGAATACCTCGGCGAGCCTAAGGTTACCTTCCCAATCCAGTGCTTTGTGTACTGTGGCCCGGGGCCCTTGAGGGATTACATGCCATATGACAAAAACTTTGGGGGTCGAGAGGATGTGTGAGACTGGGAGACACGAGGCAAACATTATTCTGGAAGCCTGGAGGGAGCTGATGGAACCTCTGGTTGAAGAATTGAGGTTAGATATGGCATGCAGAGAGATCCAGGGTGAGATCCAGGTAGTGGGTGCAAGCGGCATCCCTCCCCAGTGTCAGTGCAAGATCCAGAGTCAGAATTAAGGCAATGGAGGTGAATGTTCTTTCAGGGGTGGATCAAGGGCTGAATATTGGGAGGTGCACTTTAAGATTGTTTTATTACAATGTTATCAACAATTCACACCCAGTGGCGGCTCTAGACTTTGTGAGGCCTTAGGGAAAATCTTAAACAAGAGGCCCCACTAACACCTAAAGTGAAAATAAATAGGGGTTGCATTGTGTGTGTATAAGGTGCTGTAGTTGTATTGAAAGACAAGCTTGCAGTGTTGGATTCATTGTTCAGAGGTAACCCGCGGCAATGCTCTGATTGCCTGGAGATTGCTAGACACCTCAGTCTGCAGATCTGCACCCGGCGGAGGATGTATAGGCGCTCTCCTCCCAGGGCAGACTGTCGAGGTCTGACATTGTGTGTATGTATGGGATAGAGGGAATGTAGATGCACAATAAACAGTAAAATGCTGACTACATTTTATTAAAGTTCAGCTGTACAAAGTAGAAAGTCCCAGCAATTGTAAACCCCTTCTGAGTAAAAACACGATCTAGGGTCAGGTGTTATATGGTGACACTGGAGAGAAGTGATTCCTGCATTGTCCCCCAAAGCTTCACTCTGCTATTTGGGAAGGTAGCTTTTTACACATGCTTCCAGATTTACACACTGATTGTGCATAGGTGACAACTACCATTTCTCCCTGTACTTCACTGTGCCATTAGAGAAAGGTACAGTGTCTACTTGTTCCCACAACTCCCATAACCATAAACTTTTGCCAATTGCATCATATCCCTCGTTCTCTGTGCAAACTATATTGGTACCTAGAACCATACATTGCCGTTGAATAGAGGTGTCAAATGCATCATCTCTAGGAAATACACACTGCTGCTAAGGAACATTGCTACAATCTGCTGCTAAGAACTCAAGTGTTCTGACCAACATCTTATGCCCCTACGTTGTGGACCTAGCTCTTCCAAATCACATCAATTTTTGCTATGGTGAGGATCCAACTCTTTTGCTTGGAGCTCTGTCATACCGATCTTGAACTCCACCATCACCAGCAGAATTAACTCAGGGCCACAGAGAAGCATGAGAAGGAGAGTCCTGCTGGCTGCGATTAATGTAACAGGACTAGGAGGAATGGTTGTTCACAAGGAGTATCTTCTTCACGAAAATAATAAAAGCAGGATAACTTCTTGACATGTAGCAGCTCTCTTCCTTATTTCCAACACTATTTCCATCGTATCAAAAAAAAGGACCTTGGGGAATGTCCACACACAATGAACACTGAATATATCTTAGGTAAAGTCCGGCAACACATAGCAGTTTTCCAACCATTTTTAAATCCCTCTTACATGAAGCTGCAGGATCTGAGGCCGCACAGGTCATACCAAAAATGTACAATAGTCTCTTGGCAAGCACTCACTACTCTATGTATGCCGCACAGTCTTGCATTGGAAGGTGATTGAAAATGAGATAATGTCCATGTTAATAGAATTTGGCAGACAATGGAAAAAGTTATGATGTACACAGAAAACTCTACAAGACTTGTATTCCATAAATAAAGTCTTGAAAGAAATGTTAGAGTAGTAGCAGGCAAGAAGTTTATGAAACTACAAAAAAGTTACAGAGAAATTACCAGAAATGGTTCAATGTTTGGTAAGTATTTTACATACAGTTAGACTGAGAAGAGTGGAAGAGTAGAGTTAAAGGTGAATGTGTTATGGTTGATGTTGAAGCTCCAATCCTGGAATTTGAGGCATAATTTGAAATACCTCCAATTATGCTTTTATTATTTATTTCTTATTAAAAGTTTAAGAAATAGATTTGAATTTTATTAATTCAATCTTTTCCCAATTTACTATGTAGCCATGTAATCTTTTGAATGCCTGTGGTTTTGATACAGGAGATCAATTGTTAAAATATTTTCTTTGATGGTGTGTGAAATGTCATATTATTCTAACAAGAGTGTATGTTGGAATATTTTAGTTTATTTATGTCTACTAATGAAATGTTCTTTCATATACCAAGAAATTTGCAGAATGCAAATTAGTAGTTTCTGTTTGACTTCATTAACCTTAGAGGATGATTAAAACTGTATAAAAATTAAGAATGAGTCACCAGGCTTGAGTTTAATAAACATTAGGGTTAACTCTGAATTAGAGTTATACCACATTATACAAAATTATTCTGTTACATTGTGGTTAAAGGGACACTATAGACACCAGAACAACTACAGCTTATTGAATTTGTTCTGGTGAGTAGAATCATTACCTTCAGGCTTTTTGCTGTGTTTACATTACAGCCTAGTGATAACTTCACTGGCCACTCCTCAGATAGCTGTTAGAGATCCTTCCTGGGTCATGGCTGCCTAAAATGCATCCAAACATTCAGTATCTCCTCCCTCTTCATGTAGACACTGAACTTTCCTCATAGAGATTCATTAATTCAATTCATCTCTATGAGGAGATGCTGATTGGCCAGGCCTGTGTTTGAATCAAGCTGGCTCTGCCCCTGAGCTGCCTCTTTATCAGTCTCAGCCAATCCTATGGGGAAGCACTGTGATTGGATCAGGCTACCACTTCTGATGATGTCTGCAGACTGCTTGTTTTTTCTGAATCAAACAGCATGCTGAGTTACAGCTTCAGGCTTGAATACAGTAAGATTTTGCTATTTTTATGGAGGCATGATGGGCCCAGGGGGGCTAGATGGTGGTTTTAACACTATAGGGTCAGGAATACATGTTTGTGTTCCTGACCCTATAGTGATCCTTTAAGGATCAAGAGATTCTTCTTTCACCAATTCCATTTACTCCAATTACAATGTATTTGGTACCTTTTTAGCTTCTACACATTTTAAATTTAAATATATATTGTTTAGGTTATTCTCTTCTTTTCAAAATAAAAAAAAATGGATATCTTCCATTCATTTTCATGAAATCTCCACCGATAAATGTGATTTCGAAGTCATTGTTAGTCATAAAAAAGAAAAATCCTTCGAGGGTCAATAAGACATTAGTACAAAGGATGTTTTACAACTCCAGATGCCACCTGATGCCAGGCCATGGGTGAGGGCATGTCTACTAAACAGTGAGCAGCCAGTGGCTCTTACTGTCATAAAAGACTAGCAACTGGAAAGACATTACGGCCCAGTCGCTTTTAACGTGGGCTTCTGGCATTGGGTTCAAATTTTAACAACATGGGCATTGGGTGGGGAGTTCAAATTAAAGAAAGGGAGGTGACCAGATTACAGCCCAAACCCCTGTGCCCATACACACAGTCAGCAGGTGGGAACTATTACATTTAAAAAAAAGTGTGGTAGGTCATAAATAAAAGGTTACAACAAAAAAATAAATCCATGTTGATCGATCAAGGACTTTGCGTAGACTGAGCTTTGATGCGCTTTGAATTAAAATGCATAGTGTTAGCTTCTCAGTAACATGGTTCCCACAGTCCCACAGTGTTTATTCTATTTCTGAAGTGCTCAACATACATACATGTAGTCTTGAGGATGATTGCTTTACAGCATGGCCATACATATACATGAGTTATAAAATGTGTTAAGAGTCCACCTTACCTTCTCCTCTTATATTATTTCTGTGCATGGTAAAGTTAGTGGCTGAACTTCTGGCTGAGAGATTTGTTGCTCAGTATGGTAAGGATCGCTGTTGTAGCATACGAGGTTGTGATAGTAAACAAGGTTTATTGTACTACATTTAACCCCTTAAGGACACATGACATGTGTGACATGTCATGATTCCCTTTTATTCCAGAAGTTTGGTCCTTAAGGGGTTAAACATCCATTGAAATGCAACGAAAACATATTATAAGCACACTGTTGGCACTGAAAGAACTAAGAACAACGATGATTCATGGATACTTCTTTATTTTGTTTGGATAATTATTATGCACATGATGCTGATGGTAATGTATTAAAATTCATCATTGCTATCTACATAACAGTTACAATGGATTGAGGAAATTGCATGTTAATCTGTCATTTTGTTGTATAGCCAGATATGAGCAGTGCAGAAAAAAGAGTGGTATAATGTCATAACATAACACCAGATGTCAGCAGCAGTCAATGTCTACCAATATATAATTCTTTGGGTATTTTTGCCCAACATGCTAGTTAAAGGAACACTACAATCACCATCACCACTACATTGACCAGCCACAACATTAAAACCACTGACAGGTAATATTGATTATATTACAATGGCACGTGTGGGAAATATTAGGCAGCAAGTTAACAGAGCTGGATTTAAGCTCTGAAGATTGAGTAGTTCCACAAATATTTACTATATATTCATATTCTGTTTTTATACTACACCATTGGAGTTTTTCTCTCTCTTCTGTTCTCCCCGCATATTTATACTTATCCGGGACGCTACATACCCTTCTGATGGACTATTAGGACCACCATTTGTGCATTTGGACATTTTATATTTGGACTATTAGGTACCGTGGTTATCCCATTTTTTATATTATTTGGACATTTTTCCGAATTTTTTGTTATTGCTGCTATTCTCATTTTACTATTTTTACTTGTTTTAGGCGCACCCTTATCCTTTTCTCTCAGCAAGTTAACAGTTCCTGAATTTCATGTGTTGAAAGCAGGAAAATGGGAAAGAGAAGAGATCTGAATGACTCTGACAAGGGAGAAATAGTGATGACTAGATAACTGGGTCATCGTGTTCAATCTAACCGGTTTGTGGTTACACAGCCCCATACACAGCAAACTGTGGTGCACTTTGTGATCTGACACCTTTCTATCATGGCCTGCATTATTTTATTATTATTTTTAGCAATTTGATTGAACCAGATGGGCTAGCTTTCACTCCACACCTGCATCAATGAGCCTTAGACCCCCACGATGCTGACGCCTGTTTAACATTTGTCCTTCCTTGCATTACTTTTGGTACTAACCACTGCTTACCAAGAACATCCCACAAGACTTGCCTTTTTGGAGATGCTCTGGCCCAGTCATCTAGCCATCTCTATTTGGCCCTTGTCAAAGTCACTCAGATCTTTTCACTTGCCCATTTTTCCTGCTTCCAACACATGCAATTCAAAAACTGACTGTTGACTTTCTGCCCAATATATCCCACCCCTTGAAAGGTGCCATTGTAACAATATAACCAATGTTATTCACTTCACCTTTCAGTGGCTTTAATGTTGTGGCTGATCAATTTAAGCAAACATAAATAATTGAATTAAAGAAAGAAAGAAAGAAAATACTGTATATTTTACACTAAGCAGCTAACTCTCATACCAGAAGCATATCAGGAATCCAGTCATTGATCTGTCATTTTTGTCTGACCATATAAATAGACCAATCTGTCAAAACAGCTGAGCTGTGAAATAGCTGAGTTTGAGAATGTTGCAGACATGACTCTTTTGCCCAGAAATTTGCAATAACTTCTTAGTTTGGTGAATAACACAGAAATGCTGCAAGATTGGAACAAATCAAGTAAGATAATCCAACTACTTATAGGGCAATGTTTATTAGACAATTTAATGATGTAATTGTAATTAATAATTCAAACGGAGATCTAGCAACAATAATATGCATCCAAGTAACTAATCCCTTACAAAATAGTAAAAACAAGCACTAAATGACTTGTCCGTATTATGTTGGAGTTAGTCTACCATCTCACCTAAGAGGAGATAAACATTCTCCAGGAGTCTGTAAAGCATTTGCAACATGAGATTACAGGGACCAATTAAAATGCATATCAACCATCAGACATGAATACAATAACCTCTTTTATTTATTTCCAGTTTTTAGTAGATGTGACTCTGTGGAAGAATGAAGTATGGCTCGCATGCTTTGTCATGCATCACTCTCTTACTAAGAAAGAGTGGTAGGATTTTCGTGTACACATTGCAGCAACATATAAACTGTAATCACCAGAATAGATTCCTCAATAATTGCAAGGCTTGAGGGAAATTGCATGATTGCTGTGTCTGTTCTCCTGGGTTCCCAGGTAAGTGCTACCTTGCTACAAGACATGCCTTTTACAGGAAAGAAAACAGTGTTATCTTGTCACAAAAGAAAACAAATTCACAATGTCTACTTCATAACAGATCATATTTATTTTGTCTTAAAAGGAACCTACATTCCAGAAAATATCAGTAATTTTGGAGGTGTATATGCTCCCGTCTATCTATCCCCTTTTGTCTACCAGTGTTGCTAATAAAAAAATTAAGTTAAAGTATGATTACTTACCTTATTTCCAGTGCCAGGAGTCCTCTGCTTCAGACAATTGAAGCGAATTCGAGAATGTCAACTTGAGTCTTCCACAATCTCATCTAATCCAATGCTGATAGAGAAGCAATAGATTGGAGATATGCATGTGTGGTAAAATGCAGGGCTCCTTCAATCTCATTCTGCTATCAGCAGCATTTTATTCCAGGACCGAGTTTCACTTAGTTCTGGAGGAGGAAGCACCTCTAGTGGCTGTCTACAAAAAAGCAATGTTTTACACAACAGGGTCAAAAAGTTGGGACCACTGAGATACATTGGTATGGGTGACTTTAGTAGTCCTTTAATTTAATGTTCATTTTGAGAACCTAAAAGAGAGCAGTTAATGTAAGTACATTTTTGGCTGTGATGTTTAAAGATAGTATCTTCTAGCCAGCACATTATCATAGACTAATTTTTTATATCTGCTCATTTTAAATCCAGTCATTTGTATTCAGTAGCTTGAATTGTGTGCTTCTTTACATACAATTGGATCTGTGCGTTCCTGGATTCTGTCTTCCAGTTGATATCACTATTTAAAATATAGCCATAATAGGACGAGACTTTTTCAAAGACTAACCTATAGGTGAAAATAGTCATCTGTTATCTAGCATATGTGTGCCTGTCAGTCATGGAGCATTAGATCCCTTGATCTTGGTAGATTGGCCATATCCTGTACCTTCATTTCTCGAACATATCTCACTACAGAGTACTACACTAATAGTAACAGAATAAATAATTAATTCAGAAGGAATGAGTACAAATTTCCAGGAAAAAGCAACAGTATTATCTGTAAGCTGTAATGTATACATTGGGATTCATTTAGATATTAGTCTATGATTGCATGTGCCAAGTGGAGCAAATTAGAGTATGCAGTGGGGGGTGGAGCTAGGGTAAAAATAATACCCGAGACTTAAACCCAAAATGTAATTTGGTTATCCTGGGAACGTGATGGTCATATTACGATATTAAACTGTGCTGCTTTCATGGAAGAGACTGAGAAGAGAGAAGATATTCTGGGCTCCACATGCATAGGCGGGGCAAATGGGATTCAGGGCTAAGGAATCCTATATTTGGGTTTGATCTCCCTGAGCCCCTGTCCCAGTAATGCACCTTGTGACTGCTAAAAAAAATATACTCAAAAAGGTCAAAATTCTATGTAAGTATGAAACTTATCAGGTTACCATATTGACACCTAATTGCCTTCAAGTTGGCAAATTCTGAGCAACCTTTTACACATTTCTGCCATTGATCTACAAAAACTTGATTTTAAATAGATTAGAGTCTATCTTAATCCCTGCCGGAAATAAATGAACCTCCACTGTTTTATTTAGCCCCTCTCCCACAGCCCCAGAAATGGGGAAACAAGCAGGCAGACACCCCCCACCTCATAGATACACACAAGATAGAATAAAAAAAAACTATATTTTACAGATATTTATTAAATAATATTAACATTTACAGATATTAACATATGTATTACTCAGAAAGTTAAAGCACTAGTAATCAAGTAGGCCTAGAATACAGTACATTATTGTGCTTTATAGTCACGTAATCTAGTATAGTCACACATTTCACCATTGCACTATAATCGAAAACCAGTATAACCAGCAATATATTTCTTTACAAAGCTGCCAATCTGACATTTTACTAACAGAACATGAAACAGTCTTAATACAATGAACAGACTGATACATTCTATGTGCTTCCAACTATATTACTACTATATCACTATGCCACATTATCAAGGACATTATTTTTGTATGAAAAATATAACATTATTAGAAAGGACATTTAAAGGAACTGTCCAAGCACTATAATGCACTGTTGTGATTATGGTGCCAGGAGTGCACTGCCATTGTAAGGAGTAATACTGTTTTAGGACAGTTTGACTACATCCACTGGGTGATGCTCCCTGCCTCCACTGGTGCTCAGTAAGCGATGAAAGCTCCTGATCAGGATTTTCCAGTAGCTCTCCTGAACTAAACCCTACAGTGCAGCGCTAGCACAGTGGCTGAGAGAAATAGCTGATCATTTACAGTCAATGAGCGTTGGTCAGTGAAGAAACCTACTGGCTCTCACTGAGCATTAGTATAGGTGGGGAGGAGAACCCAGCGAAATTCAGGTAAGAAGTCCAACCATTCTAAAACAGTTTAACTACTTATAAGGAGCGGGTGCCAGGGCAGTCTTGGCACCATAACCACTGAAATGTGCTGTAGTGATTATGATGGTTGGAGTGTTCCTTAAATACACATATTATAATGATACAGGTGATAGTATAAGAGACAAGGGCTTTGAGGCTTTGGAAGAACATTAAAGAATATAACTCGTTATTAGATGAGGTGAGAAAGTGGCGTTAGAAGAATGACATCATGAAACACAAAAGACTTTAAGAGAAGAGCTATCAATGAAAAGTACCGGTATAAAAATATTACCAGTGCTCTTAGGTGATGGCAGGAAAACCCATAAATAGATTTTTAGGCATCTGGGAACTTAATACAACCTTCACTTACCTCATTTGTTATAAGAGACTGTGATCTCTAGTCTGCTTTTAAAAGCATGTGTGATAGAGAGAAGGCTATAAACATAGGAGATACATTCAAGCAAAGATTTACTGCTCCACCACTAGGTCACGAGTATATTACAGGTTTATAAGTGGTGCTGAGCCATTGTATTCTCTACGACACCTAGAACAGTGACATCCAAGTTTCCCATGAATCTCAGCTAACCTTGGCAAACCCTGCTGCTTACTAATCTACTTTATTTAACAGTTAAAATATAATCACATTGTGCATGGAAAATTGGGAACAACAGACACCACAACCATCCTCCATCTAGACAGTTACCTAATTAAGGGGTGGTTGTAGAGAAATTCTGCAAACCTGCAAAACATTTAGACTATAGTGAATTAGCCTTTAGTTAGGTAAAAAAAAAAATTAAAACAAATTTAAACAATTACCTGATTCCAGCATCGATCTCCCTCCCTCCCAGCGTATGCACGGCGAGTGAGTCCTTGTGCAAAGCGTGAGGACATCCAGTGCTGTTTCACGGTGTCAAACGCTGGTAGACAGCCACTAGAGGCAGTCTTACAGTTCTGTAGTTCTCTAAAATTGCAATGTTTTACATTGCAGGGTTAAGAAAACAAGCACCCAGACAACTTCAATGAGATGAAGCGGTCTGGGTGCCTCCTTTTAATCAAAACTCTTCCTAAAAATGACATAGTATGTTATGACAGGGGGGAAGGGCTTCAATTATTTTAGCTTACATTTCAATCAATAAAAGAAACAAGGACTCAGGAAATGATAGCCTAAACATGTTATGGTTAAAAAAATATAGGGAATATATAACAAAAAATACAGCAAAGATGCATAGGAGACATCATTATACTACATGCTCTAAATGAATGTACCCAACATTCATTCACTCAGTAGATTTTGACTGCAAATTTAAACTCTCAATGGGAGACACCAAGTGCAATAACCATTTAAGGTCCAACCATAAGTTAGTAAAGAAGTTTCCTTTTCCAAATTCCACCCCCCCCCCACCCATGCTATTCACTACATTTCCTGAAAATTCTCCCGCTTTCTTCCCAACACCTCACTCTGATGTAACAAAGAATGACCATCCTCCACCCAATACAAGATCTTGCACAAGGTGTACGCACTGTTTTCAAGTACTAAGTAGTCACAATAACTTATCAACAGATACTATAAAGCAATTCATGGGAATCAAAGCCATTGACCATGTTGATTTGCAGCACCCTATGGAAATTTAGAGGGTCAACTCCAACCAAGAGACAGAAATGGAGTGACAACAGAAAAGAAGATATGCTATTAATTTAAATGCATGCACTTGATATCCTAATTCCTATCCAATTTTACCATTATGTTCAAATAAAAACAACCTATATAAATATCCACTGTTCCTAGTTATTTTTTAATTATCAATATGTGTTCCTCTTTTTCCATTAATCCAGAAATTACTGTGCACTTGACATTGTATGTCCAAGCTGGCTTTCAAATATACTTCAGTTTTCTATATTATCTTCCATTAGTGACACACTTATTATAGAATATCCAATATTAATGATGTTTTGAAGGAATGATCTTCTTATTGTTGCAACTGTCTACATACTTTAGACATCATTTCAGGCTTTCCTTCATATTTCACCCTTTAGTTGTCTTCTCACAACCTAGTTTGAAACACAATCAAACTTACAATGTGAGCAGAAATTTGGTCCATAAAATATTATATCTACAATAATGTTTCACCACCAAGTAATCTTGAATTCATAGATGGGGCGCTTACAATAATAATGATTTATGAGATGTTTGTCACATACTCCAATACATTGATGCTCCACTGTGATGCCTCTCTCGTACAAATCAGTAACTATGCAATGAAGGAGGTCATATACATCGGCAACAGCTTCCCAAGGTCCAAAGGACACATCAACATCACAGTGGTGCTCAAAATGTTTTGTCTCATTCTCACTCCTTTCAAAACGCAGTGTGTTGAATTGAGGACATTCATAAGGGGTGATGGGCATCTCTTCTTTAAACACGCAAACTTTCAGCTTTGCAAAGCGGGCCTTCCGTTGCATAGCGCGAAGTTTTCCAATTTCGATGATGCGCTCTAAGTGGTCTTTGGGTGGGTGGAGGGGAATGGAAAGAAAGTATTAGCAATTTTTAATGGAAAAAATATGAAACAACATAATTGATATAAAATTATGTTTAACATATATGTGAAATGTATTTTTAATATAAACATATAAACATGTGGAAATGTGATTAGACATGATGTATTATTTTAATATTGTAATCAAGTTATTATTATGACTGCGTTTCAGTGCATTTTCACTCATGTTCTTCCCAGTGGACCTGTACACAAGGGATCCAACAATAAGATATGTGTAATATCTCACCTGAAGAAAAAACGGCAACAGTCACAAAAAGGATATCTCCTTTCTCCACTGATGTAATACAATGTGTAAGTAATAAATCAATTAAATGGTTGAATGGTTACTCTTCAGGCAGGCCAGAAAAACATGCGGTCGGGCAAAGGATTCCAGGTGGCCTGTGAAAAATGTGGAGGGCACGGAGGAGGGAGAGCCCAGTAGAGAAAGGTATTGAAACGGAGGAGTGAGAATTCAGGAGAGCCAGTACTGACACAGAAGAGGGAGAGCCGGTTATGACATGGAGGAGGGAGAGCCGGTCCCAACACGGAGGAGGGAGAGCCCAGGAGAGCAGGTCGGAACAGAGGAGGGAAAGCCTAGTTCGGGTACAGAGCTGCAGACTGTGAAGTAGATGTCAGTGAGCTCTGGCCAATCAGAGCGCTCTTCCACTTCCAGTACTGGACCTTGCAAGACCTCTACCACGTGGTCTGCAGCTCTCCACCCAGAATTGCCCACACACATTGCAGCTCTCCACCCACATTCTCGTCCCCCATTACACACTGTCAGCCCACTTACATACTGTCACCCCCACACAGCCATCCCACTTCCCTCTGCCACACTCACATTAACCCCCCTGTCCTGTCACAAACACCTGCTTCAACCATGCCACACTCTCTTCCCATTGTTCTGCAACACTCCCCTATAACACTAACCCTCCCTAATCCCTTAACACTCAATTTATATCGCACTCTCATACTCACCTCCCAACCCTGTCACAATCACCTTCCATCACTTAATCTTAAGCAAGTGGAATGTGATGAGGAAAATGTGGAAGCTTTATGGATAAATATCTGCTTAGGACAAAAGAAGGGACATCAACTATTGGTTGGAATATGTTATAAACCACCTAATTTTAATATTGATGAGGATCAACAGCTGCTTGAGCAAGTTGAGAAAGCTGCAAACAATTAAATTATTGGAGATTTTAATTACCCGAACATAAATTGGGATAGAGGGACTAGTAGCTCTGCAAAGGGAATGGTTTTTGAACTTGTTAAATTACACCTTCATGTCACAACTTGTACAAGCACCAACTAGAAATGACGCTTGTCTGGTCCTGGTTCTAACAAACAATGTTGATCTTTTGACCAACATTCAAGTAGGTGAGTGTTTGGGAAATAGTGATCACAATATAGTGTCCTTTGAAATAAACTAAAAAAAACAAAACAAAAGCACATGGGGTATACTAAAAATATAATTTTAAAAAGGACAATTTCTATAAGTTAAGGGCAGCTTTACAATATATTGATTGGCATAAACTCTTTAGTGAAAAGAACACTGAGGATAAATGGAACATCTTCCAACAAATATTAGGTACATTTCTCAGTATGTACCATTGGGTAATAAATATAAAAGAAACAAATAGAAACCAATGTGGCTTATTAGAGAAGTAAATCAAGAGATTAAAAATAAGAAAAGGGCATTTAAAACATTTAAATTGGACAAATCAGATGCATCCTATAAAAGATATAAGGAAGCCAATAATGCGTCCAAAAAGGCGATTAGATTTGCAAAACTTCAAAATGATAGCCAAAGAGAGCAAAACCAACCACAAAGAATTCTTTAAGTACATACATTCTAAAAAACCAAAAAATGAAAGTGTATGTACACTAAAAACTGAAATGGGGGTGTTAGTTAATGAAGACCAGGAAAAGTCAAAAATTTTAAATAACTATTTCTCCTCCGTATATATTAAGGAAGAATCTATGGCAATAGATGTGCAAATGATTGCTGCTTAAAACTTGCAGAAAAATTGTAATTGGTTAACTCAAGACAAGGTGCTGCAGCAACTAAAGAAAGTTAATACAAACAAAGCTCCAGGGCCTGACGGTATTCATCCACGAGTACCTAAGGAACTAAATGTAGAAATAAGTGAACCTCTGTTTTTAATCTTTCAAGATTTTTTTCTTTCAGGAAGTGTTCCGGAGAATTGGAGGGCAGATGTGGTTCCTATATTCAAAAAGGGTTCAGGATCCTTGCCTGGAAATTATAGACCTGTGAGCTTAACTTCTGCTGCTGTAAATGCATTTGAAAGATATTCAAGGGTTCCTTGAGAAGAACATGGTTATCAGCAAAAATCAGCATGGTTTTTATGAAGTACAGGTCATGTCATACTTGATTGCATTCTACAAAGAAGTAAGTAGAAGTATAGATCAGGGTTTTGCAGTGGATGTGATCTATTTGGATTTTGCCAAGGCATTTGATACAGTTCAACACAATAGATTAGTGTTCAAACTCAAAGAAATCAGTCTAGGTGAAAATTCTTGTTCTTGGGTAGAACATTAACTTAAAAATAGAGTACAAAGAGTTGTCATTAATGGTAAATTTTCAAGCTGGACAGAGGTGGCAAGTGGTGTCCATCAGGGTTCTGTTCTGGGACCCCTTCTATTTAACATGTTTATAAATGATCTTGAAAAAAACATTGAAAGTTATGTTTCAGTGTTTGCAGATGACACAAAACTCTGTAAAGTAATACAATGTGAGCAAGATATTACTTTGCTGCAGAGGGATTTAGATAGACTGGGGGACTGGGCACTTAAAGGGCAGATAAAATGTAATGTTGAAAAATGCAAAGTTATGCACTTCGGCGTAAAGAATGCACAAGCAACGTATACCCTTAATGGAAGCGAATTAGGGATAACAACACACGAAAAGGACTTGGGCATTGTTATAGACAACAAACTATGCAACAATGTGCAATGTCAATCAGCATTGGCTAAGGCCAGTTAGGTATTGTCATGCATGAAAAAGGGCATTCATTTTCGGGATGAGAATATCATTTTGCCTGTTTATAAATCACTGGTAAGACCACATATTGAATATGCTGTGAAATTTTGGGCACCTGTTCTAAAGAAGGATATTATTGCACTAGAAAAAGTGCAGAGGCGAGCTACAAAATTAATAAAAGGAATGGAACATATGAAGAAAGGCTAACACATTTTTAAAACTCTTTAGTTTAGAAAAATGTCGCCTAAGAGGGGATATGATAACATTATACAAATATATTTGGGGCCAATACAAACCATTGTGTGGAAATCTATTCACAAACTGGACTTTACATAGGACACGAGGTCATGCGTTTAGACTGGAAGAAAGAAGATTTTGTTTAAGGCACAGAAAAGTTTTTTTTTTTACTGTAAGATTAATAAGGATGTGGCATTCTCTGCCCGAAGAAGTGGTTTTATCAGAGTCCATACAGATGTTCAAACAGCAACTAGATGCATACTTGCAAAAACAGAATATTCAAGGATATACATTTTCAATGTAGGGTTATAGCTTCTTGATCCTAGGATTAATCTGACTGCCATTCTGGGGTCAAGAAGGATTTTTTCCTAGTTTGTTGCAAAATTGGAAGTGCTTCAAACTGTTTTTTTTGCCTTCTTTTGGATCAACATCAAGAAACAAAAGTGAGGAAGGCTGAACTTGATGGACACATGTCTCTTTAACTAACTCATCAATGACACAGAGGGCAAAGTTCCCATAGTAACTATAAGTTGAGGTGCGTTACTATGGGAACTTTGCCCTCTGTGTCATTGATGATAGGAAGATTCCTTCATGCAACCCCACACCTTTCCTGCTGACTTTTTCAAAGAAAAAAAAGGGAGATTATCTAGTAGTCCATGTAACTTTTTGCTAACATACTAACTCAATTTGGATGGTGTGTTCTGCATTTAAATTTAATGGGACACTATAGTCACCAAAACAAGTTTAGCTTAATAAAGCCGTTTTTTGTGTATAGATCATACTTCTGAAACTTCACTGTTTAAGTCACTGCCATTTAGGAGTTAAATCACTTGTGTTACTGTTTATGCAGCCCTAGCCACAACTTCCCTGGCTTACACAGCATGCATAAAAACAAAAGAGTTTCATTTTCAATTAGATGTAACTTACTTTAAAGGTTTCTACCTCCTTTTCTGTAAATTAATCCTTCATTACACACAGAAGGCTCCTGCCAGGTCTAGCAAGCTATTAACAGAGCAGGAGATAAGAAATTCTCTGTTCAGGAAGTGTTTAAGTCACATGCAGGGAGGTGTGACTAGGGTTCATAAACAAAGTGATTTAGCCCCTAAATGGCACAGAATTGAGCAGTGAGACTGCATGTGCATGATCAATACATCAAAACTGCTTCATTAAGCTTAAGTTGTCTTGGTGACTACAGTGTCACTTTAAGAGGAGAGAAAAGGGAAGGAGAAAAACAAGGAAGAAAATAGTAATTAAGAATAAAACACAGAGAGAACATGGGTTTGACTCATTATGCACAACATATTTTTTATTCAGTTTTTGAAAATTATAATTGACTTAATTATATTTTAATACAGAATGTTTGCTAAAAAATTAATGTACTTCATTGTGACTTATTTAATGGATATATATGCCTATAAATATGTATATGACTATTCTATGTTTGTTATATTGAAGCCCTCCGCTCCTTCCCAATAAAAAATGAAAAAAAAAAAATGTTCTCCTGCTACTTTTACTGGCCTTTCCAATTGCCTACCAGGTGTACTAATGAGAAGGATGAGACTTTAGAGAGCCGTTGAAATTATTCTCAGGTCACATCAGTGTTTCATCCCTCACAGGTCAACAAAACGAATACCATGATATCATAATATATTATATTCTAATGCCATAATAATACATGCATATTTCTTTAACCAATAAGCCATTTATTCCACTAAATTATCAACAGCCTTAACTATATATCCATACAGACACATTATCAAGAGATGAAAATCCCTCTGACTTTAAGAGCATTGTGAATTCAGCATGTTTTTGTTTTTTCGCATAAGAGTTGTATATTAGAACACTGAACAATATCATTGTTTAGAAAGCTGAGGATCTGGGACACTTTTCTATACATTTTTTTAATAGAATATTTTGTTACACACTGTTTTGTATTCGTTTTTTTTCTCTCAGCAGTCTTGTTTTTTCTAAAATAGAAGAAAAAGGATGGTAGATCCTATCATAGGAAAGAGACAGATATAATTGGGACCACAGAGAGTTATTGACTGTTGAGTAAAAAATATTAATGAAAGAAATACTTGCTTCTGTATCAGTTATATTAAATTCTACGCAACCAGACATAAAAATATCGTCCACAGTCCCACATAAGACAAGAGATATACAGATTAGCATTTGATACAGTAATTTCTTGTTACAAGGTCTGAAAGGATAGAGTAGGATGGTGCATGGCCTGGACCTCTGTAAATGATACAATAAATGATGTCAGGGATTTAACTGAAGTACTTGGTCTCTAACTCTTAATGTATTATTGAAGGAGAAGACCTTTCCTAGTTTCAGAATTCCGAATCCGTACTTTATCAGTATTAATGAGTGTCTGCACACAGAACAAAAACCATGGCAGATTAATTCTTCTGGGTATGGATTTGCTTCCTTTATATTGAGATTATTTCCAATCAATATATGCAGTAATAGTAATAGAAAGGGATTACAGGGAAGCAGTGCCTTCACAAGTGTCCTCAACTCAAATAAAGATGGAACGATATGCAAAACAAGAAGACAAATAAAACAGAAAATAGTATTAGTATTTTTAATGCTAGTGATTGAAATCAGCTCCAGATATATGCGCTTGGATGGTACAATCCACATCTGTGGATATGCTGATCTTGGTCTCGGTCTTAATCTAATGTGGATAGGTATCCTTAGGCTGGTCAGCAGCATGTGGTGGTCAGCGTTCGTACAAGTGGTCGCTTTCAATTTGCCAAAGCTTGGTTGCAGAAGAAGTCCTGGAAAATTCTACTGTGGCCATGACAGTCACCTGATTTGAACCCCATAGAAAATCTGTGGTGGGATTTAAAGAAGGCAGCTGCAGCCCACAAACCAAATAATATTACTGAACTGAAAGCCATTGTTCATGAGCAAAGGGCTAATATTCATCAGGAATGCTGCCAGAAGCTGGTGTCTGGCTATGAATCTCGAGTGCAGCAGGTCATAGCAGCAAAAGGGAGCTGTACTAAGTACTAAAGAGGCTTGCCATGAAGGGTTGAATAATTGTGAGACTGGAGAAGTCATTATAAGTTGCATTTTCAGTCGAATTTGGGGAAACCACTTTTTATTGCTTTTCTTTGATTTGTTGATTGCAAACAGCTAAAAGTCTGTTAATTCTGACAATAAACATGATTTTCAATGGGGGTTGTATAATTTTGATTCAACTGTACAAAACATATAAGCCGCACATATATACAACCTCACAAAGCATCTGCCACACCCATACATAACACAAACAGAATTCCTCAACATACATGAACTTTACAAAAATAGGCATGGTACTAATTTTGTCACTGAGCTACCATCCAGTTGCTTACTCCTAGTATAGTATATAGTATTATTTCTGATCTGATGAAAAAAGGATATTTTGGCATTAGAATGACTGGATCAACATGGCTATAGATGGATGGTCAGATGGATGCATAGACAGACAGAAAGATATGTGGCTGAAAGTACCTTTCTACATTTTTAGAAAAGTGCACAATTTTCTCAGCTCTAAGTATGAATTGAAAAAAGTATTTTATATCCTTTATTTTAAATGTAAAACAAATGAGCATGTCGTGAAAAAAATATATTGTACTCATTATCTTGCTGGAGGACCCATGATCTATGACTGAGTCACAGCTTCCTGATACATCACTGTATGTTTTGCTCCAGAATGCCTTGACAGCACAGATTCCAGTGCCACCCCAAAACATCACAGGTTCTCCTCCATGTTTAATGGTAGGGATGATAGTCAATGGAGTATATTCGAAGCAAGGTATTGTTACCAGTGGGGTTCCTCAGGGATTTGTACTTGGACCCATTCTATTTAAAGGACCACTATAGTGCCAGGAAAACATACTCGTTTTCCTGGCTCTATAGGGTCCTTGGGTCCCCCTCACCCTCTGGGCCCCCTTCCCGCTGGGCTCTAGGCTGAGGAAGGGGTTAATCCCTTACCTTTTTTCCAGCGCCGGGCTCCCTCGGTGCTGGGGAATCTCCTCCTTCTTCTGCCATCATCGGCTGAATGCGCATGCACGGCAAGAGCCGCGCACACATTCAGCCAGTCTCAAAGGAAAGCATTCTCAATGCTTTCCTATGGACGCTGGCGTCTTTTCACTGTGAAAAATCACAATGAAAAGCGCGGAAGTGCCTCTAGTGGCTGTCTGGATTAACCCATTTGTAAACATAGCAGTTTCTCTGAAACTGCTATGTTTACAGCAGAAAGGGTTAATCCTAGAGGGACCTGACACCCAGACAACTTCATTAAGCATTCATTAATATTTTTATTAGTGATATTGCAGAAGGTCTTGATAGTAAGGCATGTATTTTTGCTGATGATACAAAGATTTGCAACAGGGTTCATGCTCCAGGAGGGATAAGCCAAATGGCAAATAAATTAGGTAAATTAGAAAAATGGTCAGAGTTATGGCAACTGACATTTAATGTGCTTAAGTGCAAGATAATGCATCTTGGGTGTAAAAACCCAAGGGAAGAGTATATAATATTTGATACCCTACTAACCTCAACATCTGAGGAAAGGGATTTAGGAGTAATTATCTCAGATTACTTAAAGGTAGGCAGACAATGTAATAGAGCAGCAGGAAATGCTTGGTTGTATGGGGAGATGTTTTAGCAGTAGAAAGAGGGAAGTGCTCATGACATTGTACAGAACACTGGTGAGACCACACTTGGAGTATTGTACGTAGTACTGGAGACCGTATCTCCAGAAGGATATTGATACTTTGGAAAGAGTTCAGAAAAAGGCTACTAAACTGGTTCATGGATTGCAGGATAAAACTTAAAGGAAAGGTTAATGGATCCTAACATGTATAGCTTGGAGGAAAACCGAGACAGGGGGGATATGATAGAAACATTTAAATACATAAAGGGAATCAACACAGTAAAGGAGGAGACTATATTTAAAGGAACAAAAAGTACCACAACAAAAGGTCAGAGTCTTAAATTAGAGGGGTGAAGGTTTAAAAATAATTTCAGGAAGTATTACTTTACAGAAAGAGTTGTGGACACATGGAATAGCCTTCCAGCTGAAGAGGTAGGGGTTAACATGGTGAGGGAGTTTAAGCATGTGTGATAGGCATAAGGCTATCCAAGACTTAAGATAAGGCCTGGGACTAATTAAAGTATTTTGAGAATAAGGCAGACTAGATGGGCCAAATGGTTCTTATCTTTCGTCATATTCAATGCTTCTTTTTTTCTTCTGTAAACATAGAGTCGTTGTTATTTTCCAAAGAGCTCCATCTGTCCAAAGGACATTCTCCCAGAAGCACTGTGGTTTGACAACATGCATTTTGGAACACTTCATTTAGAGCTCAGAGTGCATGGTGCATTACAGTATTTTATTAATATGTAAGGGTGCCAGTAAGGGTACGAATACTTTCAGTCAAATATGCAGATAGATAATTTCTGCACATTAGGCACATGGCAGTACCTTTAATATATCACTGAGTTGCACAAAGTTTTGAGGCCTGTGTAAAGTGCAAAAGCCATTGTGAATGAATGAACAGCCAGATGTATTGAAAACACCTGAAAAAACTCATGGGTTTGAATCGGAAACTTCTAAATGGGACAACTCATTACTAGATGTAAAGGTGATCCCAGCTACCTGGAACATCAATATTATTTGCCGCAGTTATCTAGATTTGGAATGTCAACCAGAGATCACGCCCCAGGGTCCTTAGAGTAACACTGGGACAAAAAAAGACTAACAGAAGGTTCCAAAAAAAATCCAATGTTTAGAACTTGAGATTGGTAAACTGAAAATAATTCACAGGTACTGGGACTTGGTCATACCTTACAAAAGAACAAAGTTTAATAAAAGGCAAGCTAAAATTAAACGTCCTTATTGCTTTACGTATTGCTTTACGTATTAATTTGATATATCACCAGTGAATTATTCATTATACAGTTGATGAAAGAACAAGAAACAATAAGGCCTGCTATTAAGACTGCGAAAACAAAAGAACTTTTCTAATGTGACAGGCAGCTATCAGCAGGCACTCAATAATTTAATATACAAGAGAATTTAATCTGATGAAAACTTCACCCACACATTTCATCCCAACTGGATACAAAAGTACATGCTAATATACAAAAAAAAAAAGAATAAATACTACAAATGATAGCACTGCAAAAAGAAAAAGTTTCTACCTGACTTGTACTATGTCTACAAATCTGATCAGGAGAAATATCAGTGGTGGAACTACCAGCGGTGGGGGCGTCGGGCAGAGCCAGCGCCCATGCGAGCTAGATGCATATCACAGCAGCTCTGTGTTTCTTATCCAATTGAGATGATTTTCCAGCCATTTAAGCATGCCTATTATTGCTTGGAGAGGCACCCTAGATGCAATACATCAATGGGAAGAAAACAAAGCACTGCGCAGACCTCAGCCCAGGATCCTGAGATATCAGGGTTTTTATGCACATGACCTGAGCCTTCCAAGATGGCACCTGCAGAATCCTTCATAACAAACTCGTCAGACGACAGCTTGCCTGCAGGAGGCTTTTGCGTTACTCTTTACACCTTCCAAATGTGCCTTTAGTAAATACCTTATGTAATGCGAATTAGGGATTATTTTAACTTCAGTGACCGAATAATGTAAATTTTATTAAAGACAGGAGGCGATTATTTGCTTTATCCTTCTTTACTGAACCTCCCAGCAGCAAACAAACAGTTAAACAGTAGTATAAAAAAATCAACCAATCTGAACACATCCGGTCAGTATATTGTGGCTGTGAGACTCCTCCCACTTCCTCTTTCTTGATGCAGCCGATAACTTGAAGTCAACCGTGTAAACCATAAATAACTGTAGTCAACCCTGTAAAGCAGATAGAGATTAACCAATCCACAAGATGGGTCAAAGAAAATGTGAACGATTTTCTAAAACAAAAAGAAAATTTGTGAAAGTATGGTGTAATTGGTAGACTGGCAGTCATACAATAATGCACAATAAATGAGCAAAAATGTGTCAATTTTATATGAAAAAGCAAAATATAAATATATTGTTAGAGAATAACAATCAATTTAAATCATGAAATAGTCATAGTCTGCAGGTATAAGACGGTGTTCTAAGTGGAAAAAAAACATAACTTATCTGCAGGTCCATTTAGCAAAAAAACAAAGGTTCGCAAATGTATGGAGAAAAGGGGAGGGAGTGAATTAAAGGAAAAGAGATAAGAAATGTACCGGGTGGGAAAATATTCGCCTCCTATGTTTAATAAAATTTAGATTATTCGGTCACTGACGTTAGAATAATCCCTAATTTTATGGCAAGAGAGGAGGCTTCATATTTGCTGTTTTGACGTCAAGATAATAAATGAGAAGATGCGTGAGAAGTAGGACGGAAATAGAAGGTACGGAAGGTGGATTCCCGAGACCAATAAGCGGAAGCTAGAATGTCTGAAAGCGAATGTCCAAACGCCAGCTAGTCCAGAATTGCCATGCAGAAAGGTATGCTCTATGAGTTCCGGGAGCCCAAGAATCCCAGAGGAGTCCTTGAGCAGTGTGTGAAAGTCCTGAGATATACCAGGATCCCCTGAGCCAAAGACAACCTTGAATGGCTAGGGGATGGAAATCCCCTGATGAATCTCTGAGAAGATCGTGAAATACCGGAAGAAGTAGCGGGTAATCTACCGACATTTCCAGAAGGTTGGGCTCTCCAGAGTGGTATTATTAGGAGAATCTTGACACCAAGAGTTCTGAGACTATGAAAATTTGCGGAATCACTGAAAAGGGTGAGAAAACGTACAATCCTGTTAACAGTCATGGGTGCAGAACGGTGTCGACTGCCTGGGATAACGGATCCGGTAGCCAACTGAAGAAGGCTTCAGTCTGACGATTCAGCCTGGAGGCAAACAGGTTAAAAAGGAGAGGTCCGCAGAGTAGTTGCAGATGATAGAAGATACGTGGATCTAGGGGCCAGTCGCTGGCGTCTCTCCAGTGTCTGGAGAACCAGTCTGCCACGAGATTGTCTGATCCCGGGAGATACTCTGCTTGAAGGGAGAGATTCCTGTCCAGTCAGAACTGATAAAGTTCTCCCATGAGGTCTGAGAGGCTTTTTGAACGTGAACCCCGTAAACGATTGACAGATAACAGACAGCGGAAACGTTGTCCATCCTGAGGATCAGAGAACAGTCATAAACATCCTTGGGAAACTGCGGATCGCAAAGGATCCCACGAGCAGTTTGAGGCAGTTGATATGCATTGTGCGTTCTGACGGTGTCCAGAGTCCGCCTGTGGAGAGGTTGGAACAGGTTGCCCCCCCCAGCCTGGAAGGCTGGCATCTGATTCCAGGATAAAATCAGGTTGGCATCCGAAGATAGCTTTCTTGTTCCAAGCCTCCATGTTCTGGAGCCACCAATTAAATTCTAATTTGACTTCTTCCATTAGAAAAATGTGTTGGTCAAATGACTCGGATCTGCAAAGATAATGTGTTTTTAGACGTTGTATCGCCCTGTAGTGTAAAGGGCCTGGGAAAATTGCCTGGATGTAGGCTGAGAGTAACCCTATGATTCGCGCTACATCGCGAAGCTGAATGCATTATACAGTAGTCGTCAAATATCCTTTTTGATGGAATTTATCTTTGACACTGGAAGCTGAAGGACCAAAAGGACGGAGTCGATCTGAAATACTAGGAACAGAATAGAATGAGACGGAAGAAGGGATGATTTCTCAAAATTGATTACAAATCCGAGGTTCTGAAGGAGAGATTTGGTCATCTCCGTGTGTCTTTGAAGGGTGTCTGGATCTTGAGCCGTGAGAAGAATATCGTCTAGATAGATGATGGCTCAAAAACCTTGAGATCTGAGTGAAGCCATAACAGATTTCATCAGTTTGGTGAAACTCCAGGGGGTGGAAGAGAGACAAAAAGGGAGGCAAGTGAATTGCCAGAGGTTTTGTTGCCAGAAAAACTTTAGAAAATGACGGTGTGAGGTTGTCACTGGGATGGTAAGGTATGTGTCTCTTAAATCGAAGCAGGAGAACCAATCTCCCTTGCAGAGAAGGTCGCGAAGCATGTGTATGCCCTCCATTTTGAAGTGGCAATATACCATAAATAAGTTCAAATCTTTTAAATTGATAATAGGGCGGAATTCGTCGTATTTTTTCGTCGGAACCAGGAAAATGTTATTGATAAACCTGGGTGGGCAGGGAGAACACTCAATCGCACCTTTTTCTCTAAGTTTGCAGAGCTTTGAGTGTAGGATTGCGGTGTCTGACAGGGATATATGTAGGGGTTATGGAGGGAATTCCTGAAGTTGGTCTGATGTAAAATCTATGTGAAACCCAGACACTGGGTTGAGACCTGTAACCTTTGAAGGCGGTCCTGCCAGTAGCTCGGCCTCTGTGGTGACCGGCCCTCCCAGAAAAACAATGGGAGCGGAAAACTCTGCGTAGGGACGTTTGGGCCTTGTTGAGCAAGGTAAAAACAGAGACGTGTCTGTTAAGATCCCTCATAAACTGGTCGCCAAATAAAAGGCCATTAGCTTCAGGGACGAGTTCTTGTGAACTCAAATCTGCCAACTTTGCGTCTATTTTTTATAATTCGGCTTTGCAACGTTCAGTGGAGATAGCTAAATTGGCGTTGTCTAGTAAACATATGGGGAAGCCTCAGTGATTGCTTTATCAGCCAATATAAAAGATCTGTATTAAAGAAACCTGCTATGTCAAGCAACTTGTCCTGAACAGTTTTCAGACCTTGTTCGAGGCCCTTGCCCTTGGGTGAAATTCAGGCGTTTGAGCCACTTTATCAGGTATGGTTGGACGGGGGCATTCAGCCATCAATTTATTCCTGATTTCCCTCTCAAGTGGTTTGAGTAGTCACATCCTGCAAAACTGGTGGTGGTCTGGTGGTGCCCACTAAGCCAAGAGGGCATGCTTAATGATCCTGGGGTGAAAAAAAGGTTGGCCACTAAAGTCTAGTAAGGCATAAGAAGATTGATCCTAGGTTTTGGCAGGATTTTTAGAAACTGTAGGATGTTTAACAAAAGACTCCTTGACATAAGGAGTATCAACATGTTGCACATCATTGGGGAAATCATCATCGGAATACCCCACGCAGTATTCGTCCACGACCTGTAGGTCATAGTCAGCTTCTATCAGGTTTAATTTTATCAATAAATGACGGCTTCACACTAAACAAAAAGCCACTTCTTAGGCGTTATAAACGTTAGAATATCTGTGTGCCAAAGGTACAGCTAACTATCGTAATAAGAGATGAAGAATTCAAATGTGAAGAATGCTGAGGTAAGTAGATTCCTGAGCCAAGCCACGTTTTGCTAGGGGGAATGAAAGCTGTCTTTTTTTATAGTATTTATAGCTACCTTACTCTCCTCAGACGATAGGTGCCCACAAAGGCAGAGCACAGGATACTATATATTGTATAATACAGCTCTAGATAATTGCTGTATAATAATTAGAAGCTTAGATATTCAGTTTTATTAGAATATTAGGTACTGATTAAAACACAGCTTAGTTTATCTACCCTAATACTAGCATCTCTATTAGACAGTGTTCTATCATTTGCATTAACACTATCTGGATCACTAACACTCTAGCTAATTTGCTGTTGTACTGGTTAATTAGCCTTTTATTATTTCTTTGAATATATTCTTGACTGTTTAGCAAACTCAATGACATTTGGGCATTAAATTTAAAACCTAGCCTGGCTGATTGCCAGCACTAACAAACTTCACTAAAAGCTTGCTCTAGTTTATCAGCTAATCAGAATCTCAGCTATCTTTCCAGTTAGTTTAGCATATGGGGGTTACCCAAAGATGCGAGGGTCTGTGGGGGTCACCCACTTTGTATTATGGCAAACAGACGCAGTATACAGCTATTAAGTGGTGCAGAAAGTACCACTGTAGCAAACAGGGGTCACCTGTTAATAAAGGGGGTCACCCTTAAGGCAGATAATTGTTTGGATTATACTAATCTCTAAAGGGCTAGTAATGTCACCTACATGTGACAGGAGAGCCTAGAAATAAATGAAATAAAAAACATATTTACAATATATATTGATTACAGAATAAATGATCAAATAAAAAACATAAAATGCTGTTTAGCAAGCAATTACCTTGGAACTTGCTTAGAAAGACTTATTGAAAAAAAAAACGCTGTAGAAGGTAAACTGATACAAAGATAAACTGCTGTTTGAATTCGGAAGAAAACCACCAATACAAAATGGCCGTCCGCACAGAAATTGAGGCTGCGACTTATTCGCGTCACGGAGAGACGTGGGGAAAAAAAAGTTGTGAAAAAGAGACAAAACAACTCGCGGCTAGTGCGGCTCAACACAGAGTTTCGGGAAACTAAAATAAGCCGTTATCAGATTGCGGCAAGTAGAATGAGTTATAAGGTACACAAGGAAAGACAGCTAGGTGCTGTCAAGAAACCTGTGGGCCGACATAAGGTCGGCCCAAGGGATACAAAAATTTTAAAATATACCAAGAATGTAAAATTATTAAACACATAAAAAAGGTAAGACAATGTAAATGTTACAATAGCATAAGGTAAAATATATAGTAATTAAAAAAAAAAAAAAAAGTATAATTAACTGTGAAAGGCCAATATAATCAGAATTGACTCACCTGGGGGGAAAACAGCAAAGAAAGAGAAAGTGGGAGGCGTCTCACTGCCACAATATACTGACTGGATGTGTTCTGATTGGTTGATTTTTATACTATTGTTAAACAATTTCTTTGCTGCTGGGAGGTTCAGTATAGAAGGATAAAGCAGTGGCGGACTAAGGGGGGGGCGGTCCGCCACAGGTGCCACCTGGTAGGGGGGTGCCATGACCCTGGTCTGAGGGCTAATGGGGGATGTGTTAGCTGCGCCCCACGGCAGCTGGGGTGTCGCACAGCTCACACGGAGAGACCAGCAAGATGAACTCGCCGCACGGAATTAATAAGGGGGCGGAGCTATGGACATTTAGGGGTGGGGCCAATCCGAGAGCGGGGCGGGGCTTAACAAGGGGCCTTACCAGCTGCTGTTACTGCTGCACATGGAGGTGCAGCAAGAAGAAATCCCTGCTCCTCCACCTGGGAAGGACTTCAGGCCAGAGAATCCACTCCTCCAACCCACACTGTCTGTAAGTGAGTGAGTGTGTGTGTGTAACTGTCTGCCTGTAACTGTGTGTGTGTGTGTGTATGTGTCTGTAACTGTCTGCCTGACCCTGTAACTGTGTGTGTGTGTATGTGTGACTATCTGTCTGTATAACTGTGTGTGTGTGTCTGTAACTGTTTGCCTGACCCTGTAACTGTGTGTGTGTGTGTGTGTGTGACTGTCTGCCTGTTACTGTGTGTGTGTGTGTGTACGTAACTGTCTGCCTGTAACTGTATATGTGTATAACTGTCTGCCTGTAAATATGTGTGTGTGTGTGACTGTCTGTAACTGTGTGTGTGTCTATGTGTACGTAACTGTCTGCCTGTAACTGTATGTGTGCATAACTGTCTGCCTGTAAATATGTGTGTGTGTGTGTGTCTGTCTGTAACTGTGTGTGTAACTGTCTGCTGTAACTGTGTGTGTGTGTGTGTGTAACTGTCTGCCTGTAACTGTGTGTGTGTGTGTATAACTGTGTGCCTGTAAATATGTGTGTGTGTATGTGACTGTCTGCCTGTAACTGTGTGTGTGTGTAACTGTCTGCCTGACACTGTGTGTACGTGTGTAACTGTCTGCCTGTAACTGTGTGTGTGTGTAACTGTCTACCTGTAACTGTGTGTGCGTGTGTGTGTGTAACGGTTTGCCTGTAACTGTGTGTGTGTGCGTAACTGTCTGCCTGTAACTGTGTTTGTGTGTAACAGTCTGCCTGTAACTGTGTGTGTGTGTGCGTAACTGTCTACCTGTAACTGTGTGTGTGTGTGTGTAACGGTCTGCCTGTAACTGCGTGTGTGTGTGTGTGTAACTGTCTTCCTGTAACTGTGTGTAACTGTCTGCCTGTAACTGTGTGTGTGTGACTGCATGCCTGTAACTGTGTGTGTGTGACTGCCTGTGACTGTGTGTGACAGTCTGCCTGTGACTGTGTGATGCTGCCTGTAACTGTGTTTGTAACTGTCTGCCTGTAACTGTGTGTGTGTGACTGCCTGTGACTGTGCGTGACAGTCTGCCTGTGACTGTGTGATGCTGCCTGTAACTGTCTGTGTGACTGTCTGCATGTAACTGTGTGCGTGACTGCCTGTAACATACTGTGTGTGTAACTGTCTGCAACTGTGTGCGTGTGACTAGCTGCCTGTAACTGTGTGTGTGTGTGGCTGTAACTATGTATATGACTGTCTGCCTGTGACCCTGTGTGTGACTGTATATGTGACTGTCTGTCTGTAACAGTGTGTGTGACTGTTGGTTACTGCTTGTAACTGACTGTGTGTGTGTGTGTGTGTGTGTGTGTAACTCTCAACCTGTAACTGTGTGTATGACTGCCTGTGACTATATGTGTGACTGTCTGCTTGTAACTGTGTGCCTGTAACTGTGTAACTGTAACTGTGTGTGAGGGGGTGCAGGTATTTTGTAGAAGGGGGAAGGGGTTTTAAAAAGTTTACAAACTTGTTCAACATTTAAAAATGTAAAAAAAAGATGTAAAATGTAAAACAAAGAACACTTTTCTAAAAATGTTGAAGTTGGTTTTTTTTTGATGGGGGGGAGGGGCAAGGGGGTGCCAAACCCCGGCCCCCCCCCCCTGGTGCCACATGCTCTAGGTACGCCCCTGGGATAAAGCAAATATGAAGCCTCCTGTCTTGCCATAAAATTACCATTCCTTCTGGTATTTCCTTCTGGAATGCTCCAATCAGCATCTCCTCATTGAATGAATGCATCTTTATGAGGAAAGTTTAGTGTCTCCATGCAGAGGGTGGAGAAAGTGAATGTCAGTGCTGCACAGTGTGCAGCTGCCCCAGGTAGCACCTATAGTAGCCATCTGGGGAGTGGCTACTGGAGGTATCCTTAGGCTGTAATGTAAACAGTGTCTTTTCTCTGAAAAACTGTGTTTACTGCAAAAAGCCTGCATGGACTTACTATACTCACAAGAACAAATAGAACAAGCTGTAGATGTTCTGGTAACTGTAGTGTCAGCTATAAAAAGAATTATCACCTGCTCTGCAATTTGAAATGTTCCGGAATAGGCTCCTGTAAGGTGTAGCAAGGAGATAGGAGATAGGAAATGTTAAATTAAACAGAAGTTGCAGTAAAGGAAGTGTAAACATTAGATGAGTGTTTACAGGAAGTGTGTATGAAGGCTGTGTGAGTCACATGCAGGGAGGTGTGCCTAAGGCTGCTTAAACAAAGTGATTTGACTCCTAAATGGCAGAGAATTGAGCAGTGAGACTATAGGGGCATGATCTATACACCAAAACTGCTTCCTTAAGCTAAAGTTGTTTTTGTGACTGTAGTGTCCCTTTAACAAACTGCGTTGCCACCACTGAAATTCCATTTCACAAACAGAACAAATAATACCTTTATAATATGGCATCAGGTCCAGAAACGCCTGTCTTACTTTCTCCCCAGTAAGTGGCTGCAGTTTGTCTAGACTGTCCAATAGGGGACCAATTGAGTAGTACTGAGCTTCCTTGTACACTTTTTTCACACGATCTCGTGGAGGCAGCTCTCCGCAGCGCAGAAAGTTCAGGATGTCTCTAAAAACAAAATCACAGAGAACAACAAAACTCAAATCTAACAGATTATTAACAGTGAACAGATTAACAGGTCATTTAAAGATAAATTGTTGTATTCACCTATGTTTATGCACTTTACGTATATTCTGTCCAGTCAAACTGCAACCCGGAATATATAAAATATAAATATAACCCTGTTGACTGAACAGGGTTATGAGCACTGTCAATTACAGAATAATTTATGTATTTATTAAAATCTTCCTTCTCTTCATGCAAATCTATTTACCTCTCCAATAATTGTTTCCTGCAAGAGGTTTCATTTTACAAAGATGAGGTCACATTTACTTCAACTGGCACTTATCTCAGGAATTTGATAGGGAATTTGTTTGATATCGATCGTCCATATCCATAGTAATGTGTAGTCCAAATTAATGTATCTGTGGAGTTTGTTCAAAAACTTTGCTTGAGATGGCAGAGAATATTTTTCTAAATTAAGTGGCATTGCATAAAATGCATACCTTCCAACTTTGAGGGTTATTTAAGGACAGGAGAGGTCAGTCTATAGCATGGGAGTTTAATTCGCATTACTTATGATACACGCACTACAAAGCCTGGACAGTGTGTGTTTCATGCTGACTTGAAGCCCTTAGCAGTCAAGTTCAAAGACACCTGTCAACAACTTTTCACTTTTTAAAAGGGTCTAGACTCAAAAAATTAAGAATATTTTTTTCTGCCACATTTGCTTGGTTTGGACAAAATAAATAATATATATATATACACTGTGCAATAATCATACTGTCTAATCAGCATCCTGATATGCCATACCTGTAAAGTGGATGGATTATCTCGTCAAAGTAGAAGTGCTCACTAACAGATTTAGACAGATTTGTGAACAATATTTGAGAGAAATAGGCCTTTCGTGTACATAGAAAAAGTCTTAGATCTTTGAGTTCAGCTCATGAAAAATGGGGGCAAAAATAAGTGTTGCATTTATAATTTTGTTCAGTGTAAATCAGAAAACAACTATAACAAACCTAGTCTACACTAAGTTTTTTGGTTTTTTTGTTGAATTTGGCAATATTTGGCCAATTATACTAACAGAGATAAACGGGATCATTAGTTGTGCATCGCTCTACACAATTAAAAGCCCAAGATTCATTCACGAGTAAAGCTGGCCTCAAAATATGCACTTTGACAAATCAGACCTCCAGTCCTGTTACTTCCTGGTTATTTAGCTCAGTGGAGCAAATAGTGGAGCTCAAGAGCAGGGGAGGGCTTGGATATAAGATTTATTCAGCTTTCGCATGCTGTTTTTATTTGCATAATTAAATACATTCCCCAGCAGGCCCTTCCATTGCAAAGAGTATTTAATGAAAATCAAAAATAAATACAATTATAAGCACAGAAATTACCTGAAAGCAAAGTGGGTGATTGAAAGGATTCACTACACTGGGCCCATTTACTTAAAATAAAAGGGCCAAGTAATTAACACTGCCACAAACAATGTTTACGTAACTGTTCTGTTGTCTTTCCAATATACAACAAACAATTTTGGCAAGCATTGTAACCTACAGTATGCAAGAGTTACAGGTCACATAACAATTAAACATCAATTAAACTCCATGCACATTATCTTATTATAGGTAAGCACCCATAACATTGTGGGTTCCCCCAAGCACTTATTAATAAAGATTTATGGGTGATGAGTGGTAAGGTAGGGAACATATTCAGTATTGCAACTAAAATATTAAATATTAAATTGGAATAAATGAAAACCAATGCACATCAATATTTGTCAAACAGGATTATTTCCATTAAGTATAACCATTCTGGTATCAACAGTTTCCTACATGTTTTTGACTGTATTTTGTACTAGGGTTGCTAAGTTACATAAATTAATTAATTAACATCACAACATACTTATTTAATATGTTTTATTTTTTTAAAAGGGAGATTATATCACCTTTTCATATTGCAAAGTAACGCTAAATACATTTTAGTCCACTTACCCTTTCCTTTGCTCCACAGCTGGTCTTCACCCTGCACAAAAAATATTTCTCTTCCAGGACTCCATTGTGTCTTACTAGATCAGTACAGAGTGACTGTAAATTATTAATATTATAATTCCGCAGCGCTTTACAGTAACAGTCTCTCAAAACATAGAGCAACTTGGGCACAATGCTGATGTTAGCGATTACCAGTTGTTTCCGTGCTACTAAACATATTGACATGTTTAATGACTGGTAATTAGCAATCATTGAAGTTTTAATATTCACCACAGTAAGACATTAAACATACCTTACCCTTGCAAAATTTTAAACTGTATTTGATTTTTTGTGTGTGTGTGCACTGTTCCTTTAATGGTATTTTGTATATGTATTCTGTACTACTTGCATTCTGGTGAGACACAAGATAAACTAGATTGCCAATGTTAATAAATTACTCTATTGGGCTTTTTAAAATGTGGGGGCTACATTTAAAAGAGAAAATACTTACCAAAGTCCTGTTGTTTATTGCCTATATCACCAGTGATCAGTAGGGCTCTTAAAGGAACACTATAGGGTCAGGAACACAAACATGTATTCCTATAGTGTTTAACCCACCATTTAGGTGGCTTGCCCCCCTATAAAAGTTTAAAACTCATCTTATTTTCAGCGACACGAGGGTCTGCCAGTGCGGGCTGCGCCCCGTTTGTGATATCATCAAAATGCCCGATTTTTAGCCAATCCAATGCCCTCAGGGAAGGAATTGGATTGGCTAAAATCGGAACGGGCGGGGCCAAATGCCGTTCTGGCCAATCAGGACCTCCTCAAAGAGATGCATTGAATCAGTGCATCTCTATGAGGAAAATTTTGCGTCTCCATGCAGAGCTTGGGGACGCTGAACGTCAGGGCTGCCTTTTAGGCAGCACTGACCCAGGAAGCACCTACAGTTGCCATCTAAGGAGTGGCCACTTGGAGGTGTCCCTAGAGGCAATGTAAACACTGCCTGAACACTCTCTGAAAAGGCAGTGTTTGCATGAAAAAAGCCTGAAGGGAACTATTATACTCACCAGAACAACTACATTAAGCTGTAGTTGTTCTGGTGACTATAGTGTCCCTTTAACGTTAACTGATGAAGCTATAACTCAAAGGAAATCAGTCACGATCAGTGACATTACCACTAGACAGCATTCAGCATGGGTTATGAATACAAATTGCAGTGATCCTCAACTTTATCCCCACTGACAAATAAATATGATGATCTCCAGTAATGGGAAATAAGTCTTTACAGAGGTACAAAAGGTACAGAGGCTCCACAATTTCAAAATGCTCTTTAAAGCAAACCCATGGGTTTGTTTTCAGCAATGGTACAGCACTGATTTAATTTTCATGACATTGTGCAAGCTAGGCTATAAAACTTCACCAACACCACTAAAACCAATATAACACATGGCTGTTTGTACTCCATGAAGAGGGTCATGTGCTAGGACAGTATAAATATTAATTAAATGAATACAACCGATCAGAAAACATTTGTCCCTGAACATTTACCCAAAACATGTTCCATCTCTGTCAATGAAATATCTGCCTTCAGCATCTGTTGGGATATAATGGCGCCCACTGAACATGGCAGCCAACATGGTGTCCTCATACCTCTGAAGCGTCGATAGTCTAGTCGTGAAGCACATCCCTCCCACATTAAGTGGAATTACTTCAGGAAGCTGCAAAAAAAATAAAAAATACAAAACAATTAAACATTTTGTAACAACTTGGATGATGATGGAGATGATGCCAACTTGTAGTTACCACAAAAACATGTGCAGAAAAACAAAGGAATAAATAAAAATGAAAAAAAAAAATTCTTAGCTCCAAATCACTTTGAATTCCCACAAATTCATTTTACTGAATAAATCAAAGTGAGTTCCTAACAACTTTTCATTTTAATCATAGGTTTCATTTCGCACATTTGAAAAAAAAAAATCTTAATGGCGTATCAGCCAGTACAAACTTTCTCTCTTCCAGGTCATCAAGCCAGACAATGCCCTGTAACGTTTACAACATCTGTGAAATCTTTGTCAACGTACTGTCAGCGGAGATTAGAATCCCAGCAATAAATAATGTTCTTGCCTGTTTTCTTTGGAATATATTCCACATGCTGTTCTTCCTGGATTTCCTGAGTATTCTCATTGCATTGGTGGGAAAAGGGTGGGAGTTGAATGTATGTACAATTATAAAAATCCCTATTATAAACATCTAGTACTGTTCTGCCATTAAGCAATGCAAACCTAATCTGTTGGCTTAAAATATATTTCTTGTTTAATCAGGAACTACTGTCAATGTTACTAAATTATGTCTTATTATTAAATTATGTACCTTTATAGCCACCAAATTCTATAAAACTCAGTGAAGGACATTTAAAGACCACATGTGAGAGGCAGAGATAAACACATAAAGGACTTTGCCTGCAAGTTTACAGTGTAAAGATAACAACGTGTAGGCCTCTTGGGAAAGCATTAAATAATCCTTTATATTTTCCTCAATACTATACTAATACTCTGAATCTGCACTAAACATTAGCATTAAACCAATGAAAAACTGAGTAAAAAAGGTGGGAACCAAGCACCCACTTTTTTCCCCTCACTTTTTCATTGGTTCAATACTATTGTTTTTTAATTTGATTTGTTTTCTAAATTGAAGCTTATAAAACGCTGATATTTCTCACATGAACATTTTTCCCCAAGCAAGTGTATTCCTATGAAATATTGTGAATGCTTACTTCCCTTGACTGCAAAGTAATTTAAAAAAAAATTATATTATGCACGGGGGGAAAGGGCAAGTAAACTCAAAGCATGGAAAAAATGCTATAGGAGTGTATTTCATAAATTGTACCCAGGCCTCATTCAATAATCAGTTTTGTTTTTTTATCTCAAGCTTTTCATCAAATTCTCTGGCTTACACTGCAACATTCATAATTGTAAAAGCAGTGTGAATTAATGTGCAAATTGTGAGAAATTCAGTTCAGTTATTCCGGCCTAACATTTGAAGTTCATTTCTGAAAAAGCCCAACTTTGACCCTAATTCCCCGTTCAACTACCGCCCTATCTCACTACTGCCGATTCTCTCCAAAATCCTTTAGCGAGTTGTGTATTCAAGATTGACAGACTTCCTCGAATCCAACTCTCTGCTTGAACCACTTCAATCTGGATTCCGCACTCTTCACTCTGTTGAAACAGCTGTGACCAAAGTATACAATGATCTTGTAACTGCTAAATCCCATGGCCCCTACTCTATCCTAATTCTCCTCGACCTTTCTGCTCCTTTTGACACTGTTGATAATCAACAGCTTCTTCTCATCCTCCGTAATCTTGGTCACCGAGATACCGCTCTCTGCTGGTGCTCTTCCTACCTCTCTCCCAGTGCTCATTCAGTGTTTCCTTCTCTGGCTCTGCCTCTTCTACCCAAACCCTCTCTGTTGGTGTTCCCCAAGGGTCTGTCCTTGGTCTCCTATTGTTATCAATCTACACTGCCTTCCTTGGTAAACATTTGAGCTCCTTCGGCTTCCAGTATCAGTTCTATGTGGATGACACGCAAATTTATCCCTCCTCCCCTTCTCACTACCCCTCTTGACTCATGTCTCTGACTGCCTATATGCTATTTCCAACTGGATGGCTGCTCATTTCTTTAAACTGAGCCTGACCAAAACAGAACTTCTGGTCTTCCCTCCATGTGTTGCTTCTCCCTTGCTCTACCTCTAAGGCTCGCTGCCTAGGTGTTCTCTTTGACTCCAACCTCTCCTTCACCCTTTATGTAGAATCAATCACCAAATCCTGCTGCTTCCATCTCAAAAACATTTCGCGCATCCAACCCTATTTAACACCTGATATAACAAAGGTGCTTGTCCATACCGCTGTCCTCTCTCGCCTTGACTACAGTAATCTGCCTATCAGTGGTCGTACGTGTTCCCAACTTGCCCTGTTACAGTCTATAATGAATGCGGTAGCGAGGCTCATTTTCCTGTCCGCCAGCAATTCCCACGCCTCCCCCTTTGTCAGTCCCTCCATTGGCTTCCCGTAAGATAAAGGGCTCAATTTAAAATCCTGACACTTGCTTACAAATCTCTACACAATGCTGCTCCCACCTACATATCCTCACTAATGCACAAATATGTCCCGTCTAGGCCCCTACGCTCTGCTGGAGACCTACGTCTAACCTCTGTTCATACTCCCACTTCTGATGCTCACCTTAAAGACATCTCTAGGGTTGCACCATTCCTATGGAACGCCCTTCCCCTCTCTGTTAGACTCTCACCCAATTTCCACTCATTCAAAAAATCTTTGAAAACGTTCTTCTTTAGGAAAGCATATCAATTAAATTGTGAACAGCTTCCCCTCCCCACACACTGATTCCTTTCCTGAAACTGTCATCAAAACAAAACACTAAGCCCTCAATGAACACTATCCTAGCCACCTACTTCTCTACCCTACCCTTACCCTTTGTGTCACTATACCCCACTCCCTCTAGCATGTAAGCTCATTGAGCAGGGTCCTCAATCCCTCTGTTCCTGTGCATCAAACTTGTCTGGTTACAAATACGTGTCTGTTAGTCCACCCATTGTACAACGCTACGGAACTTGTTGGCGCTTTATAAATAGTAATAATAATAATTTAGACTCCTGGTAATTTACACTTTAAAATTCACAAACTAGGCGTAATTTCTTCTTCAACCTATCGTTCCTGTAAGTTTCCTTGTAATTGTCCTATTTATAGTTATATCCTCCCTCTCATAATATTGTAAAGCGCTACGGAATCTGTTGGCACTATATAAATGGCAATAATAATAATAATTTGAAGGAGATCATATGGAAATGGTATTCAAAGTAAAAATGTTTTATTGTGTAATAAAAAAATGTAAAAGAAGTTTCAAATATGCTATTATCACTTCATAAAAGGAAGAAGCATTTTATTATGGTTGGGGTAGGGTGAAAGGTGTATTTTTGTGGGTTCTTCCTTGTCGTGAGTACAATCTCCATGATCCCAAGACACATGCAAAGGAATATATAACTGTAAATGAATTTAAGCAGCACCAAGAAGAGTACAGTATATTGGTCTTTTTATCACTGATACAAATAGACTGCAAAGGACATTAAACAAGTTTTATAAAACAAACAAACAGTAGATTACCAAGTGCTCAGATATGCTTTGCTAAAAACGCTATATTGGAAATACATCAGGAGAGATAGCAACTTCAAAAGAGTAGGGTTTTTTTTGGATCTGTTAAAATCTTGCACTGGACTTTTTTATGTCATTTTTATTTTAGCAAGTTAAATTGGTTGGAATTCTAGAAGGAATCACAGGCATGCGATAGGTGTGTCAGGTGTGCAAGTCTCAGATGTCCGCACATCTGCAGGTATATCAGCTTATCACTAGATCAGAAATACTGTCCATGTTTTCTTTTTTTTGTTCAGTTAATATCATTTATATAATGCCAACATATTCCTCAGCACTTCATGGAATGGGAAGAATTGGCAACAAGTAGGTGACAAAATATTAAAAGACGTGAGGTGAAGAAGGCTCTGCTCAAACAAGTTTACAATCTGTGAGATTGACAGCTGGCAGTTAAATAGTATAGCCAAAGTTTTGGTGTGCTTTATTAGTAGAAATGACCCTTAGGATGATTGCGTTTTCAAAAAATATTTTACTTATATATATATATATATATATATATATATATAAAAACTATGTACAATTAATAGATGGGCTCTAAGTGTAACTCTGTGGCAACGTTCTGAACCTGGAGCCACGTTCTGAATCACCATGGAAACCAATGGAATATTTATGCTGAGTTCTCAATTTGTACAACTCTTTCAAATTAACTATATATATATATATATACATATACACAGGTACTCTTTGATAAATAGAACGTGTGATAAATATATCAAGTTATATTTATCAAAGAGTACCTGAATTCGATTATAATAGTGGTACCTTGTACTATAACTATATGATCACAGACAGCAGCCCCAAGGGGCACATGCAGAAACACAATGACAATGCCTGGGTTCACATGTATATTAAAACATAGTGTCCAGCAAAAATTAGACTTTCCTTTCTGTTTGATGGGCATTAAAGGGCACCAATCCCCGGCAGCAGGCTCTGTGGTCAGCCAATGTGTGCAAGCAGGAGGAGGGATGGGACAGGCTGCTAATGGAGAACAGATGGCTGTGTCAGAGAGCTAACGGTGCAGGCTGGCACTGAGCTTGGCACTCTACTCAGCCTGGCACTGAGCTCGGTACTGAACGCAGCCTGGCACAGCCCTTACCTGCAGCGGGAGTAGCTTGCCCTGCAAGGAGAAGGTGGCACTGCTCGGGGTGGGCGTAGCAGGCTCGATCAGCTCATCCTCAGCATCAGAACTCGACATGGCATCGTCAGGGGTCCCTCTGTTTTCAGTCTGCCCCGAAACTACCACCATCCCTCTGTGCTGCTTTGCCAAGGGGTTCCACTGCTCTGAGCTGGGGGGGAGAGGCTGCACAGTGACCCGCGCACTGCTAGATCACAGCATCATGGCCAGGGGAGGCTGCTGTGTCATGTGCCTGTCTGACAGCTCTGTCTTATAAAATATTAGCTATGTATATATATATCTATATATACACACAAACAGCCAGGTTACTTATGGGCAGATTGAGTCTAACTGTATGTGGCCCTGGCTTCAAACCTCTCTGACATCACAGGGGTGGGACCTGGTGTGTGTGTTTTTTTTCATCCAGTGTAAATCACGTGGCAGTAATTTATTTATTTTATTATGGCATGCCTTAGTGTCCAAAGCCAGCGAGACTTAGCTCCCCTTTCCAGCACACACTGACTGCAATGCTACTCCCCCTCTGCTAATGTATCATCACACTGAGTGTGTGTTATGAAGCTGAAAAGGGAACAGCAGCCCTTGTATAATACTATAGTACTGAACAGTGTGCACCATGCTCCATATCATATAACTGTGTGGTCATCCTTCATCTCAAACATGTTACTTTCATGAAAAGTACAGTACAGAAATGGAGCTGTTGATGCAGCACATCAAGGGTTTATCTAGGGTTATACATACTAGGTGGGATACAGGGGACTCACCCTCCCCACTATTCCACCAGCTTATTCTTGGCAAAGTAGCTCTTAAGCTGTTTACATGAACATTCAAATCAGGTCATTTTTTGTAGTGAAAGGGGTTAATAATCATTCTAATTCTCCATTGCCCTTGAAATGAAGTGTGCTGGGGCGAAAAAATGTGTTTATGTATACTAGGTCAGCAAGGGGTAGGCAACCTTTTGGTAGAACTGTGCCAAAGTAAATCTTTGAAGGCCCTTAGGAATTTGGATTTTATATGTATGGGTGCAGCAGATGCTTTGTGCAGTTATATGTGTGTTGTTGAATGTATTATGTGTGCGGGATGTGTGTGGAGTTATGTGAGTGTATACATGGGCTGTGTGCAGTGATGTGTATCATTTTTTGTAGTGGGGGGCTAGGTTGTAGAGTTTTGCAGGTAAATGCGGGCGGCCTATTTGGGGTAATATGAAGAGATGTTTCTAAGTTACATATCACCCTAGGGCAGAAATGTATTTTGTCCCCCATCCCGGACTGTAAAGAAAATTTAAATACGGGGGACTCCCTCTGCACTATCTTTTGCCCCTGTTTGTTAGGGAAATTACTTGCACATACTGACATTCATATACATACAAACTTACATTCATGCACACACATACATTCATGTACACACATTGATATATAGATAGATACAGACTCATACACAAACACACATTCGTGTACAAACACAGAACCAAACCCACACACAAATGCACAAAGACACTCATATACTCACACAGACATACATATACATACTCATAATTACATCCATATACACATACACACTTAATTTTCATTTCAGAAAATAAAAAAATAGTATTATTATCAATTATACTTTTTTTTAAAATCCAGCCTTCCTGTTCATCCCCGGGGTCCAGTTGGGTACGGCTCGGATCAGTCTATGTGCACTGATAATGTCATATCCCACTTCCAATAACAATACAGGGCATGCCAGTGAGCTGAGAAATCAGTGCAGAATGGTCTAGCAGCTCCAATGGTGGTTGTACTGTATGCAGCTACAGGTAAGTGGCAGTGGCTTAAAGATATCTGAATTCAGGTCTGTTTCACAACTTTGAATATCAGAATATCTCCAGTTAATGGGAATTATTCGCTGAACACTGGTGTAAAAATTAATTGTACTATATAGGCTTAAAAAGGGTATTTGGCCAAACCTTTTAAAATAATGTTGTCAATTCTCTGTTTCGTAAATACACTCCAGTGACCAGTTGTTCCATCATTCATGTAGTATTATTTCAGTGATAATGTAAGAATGATGGGCGTACTCTCAAAACCCTTAAAGGGTTACCCCAAGAACAATGACCGCTTTAGTGATTTGTAGTGGTCATGGTGCCTGGAGTCTGTATGTACAGCATTTCACTTTCAAAAGTGCATACAGAGGTTAACCCCTCTGCTGCTGGAAGTGTTACTCCACCTCAGGTAGTGTCATTGGGGCGTCTTTAGCCAGCCCTTATATGAAGACATAGCGTTCTAGTGTTCTTGCCCCTACCTGTAGGCAGGTCCTCCCCTGCCCTGGTGCAAAAAAAAAAAAATTTAAAAATAAGTTCTACTTATTCTACCTTATTCCAGCACTAAAGCTCCCTCAGCACTGTTCACCTCTCCTCACTCAGCGCTATCAGGCTTGTCCAATCCAATGCTCCTCATAGAGGATCATTGGGGACCTAATGTGCATGCGTGGCGAGCAACGCACGGGCATTCAAGCTTTACCATAGGAAATTTAATCAATGCTTTCCTATGGGGTTTCCGCATGACATGACCGAATGTTAGTCAGCGCAGTGGAAGAACCTCTAGTGGCTTTCTCAAGAACTACAATGTTTTAGATTGCAGGGTTAAAGGGACAGGGATACTGCACCCAGACCACTTCAGTGAGATGAAGTGGTCTGGGTTACTATATTGTCCCTTTAAGAGTTCCAGGCCGGCTAATGTCAATTCTGTAGATCATATTCTAATGCCACTGTGGCAAATACTCCCCCTGCAGAGATTATGTATAGAAATGCCAGGAAAAGTAATAAGAAACAATGTTCCATAAAATGAAATCGGCTTCATTCACCACTTAGTGAGTTTAAAGGCAGGATACAACAATAACCAAAAATTAAAAAATTTCAAATAACTATACTTCTATGAATAGAATGTTATTCATTGGCTAAGAATTCCCAGCTGGCACTATCAGCCAATAAATGTCTAGTGAGAATGGCATTCGGCTTCTGGAGCCCTGCAGAAGCTGAATGTCTTTACAGATAGTAAGAGAGGACCCTCAGTGCCCAGCAGGACCAAGTAAGAGGGTAAACCAGTGCACACCGGTGTGCCCCATTAATGGGAAATGGTGCCAGAGTATTCCTAGCATCATTACCTCCCACTTCAGCTAGCTTAAACATTTTGGGATAAACAGAGTTTATCACAATTTATAAAGTGTTGATTTCAGGAGAAAAAGACACTTTTATAAAGTGTCTAGTGTGCACCCTCCCAGCTGTCACTCAGAATGCCGGTAGGGTGCTTGTCTTGCTTGCTTTGTGCCCCAGCACACTGAGGAAGGCAATGAATTTCATAAAATGAGTTCCAATGGTTCTCCAGTGGTTGTAGCGCAGCTAGGCAAGGCACTGTCTTGGTGATTGATGTAAGATAATTCTTTATTTTGGTAAGCAGAACGCCAAATGATCTAAACAGACTTTAAAACACATCAGCATTACAAATAAAGTTTATTGCATCTCATGTGTACACGGTTTGCATCCGTTTATGTTGTATCCCATCAGAGTAGTATTTAAAATGCCAAAGTTGAAATGGCACAATGGTTTATTTATTTACCAAGGTCGTCATGAAAGCAGCATACCCTTGATATAATAGAAAGTACGGCACTGGAAGGGAACCTCTTATTATAGGAGATGTAAGCAGTGATACAATCTAAAATGGGAGATGAGACAAGTCAACGAGTACTAGCATTATAAAAATAAATCTTACCCAGTTCCTCTTGTGTGGAACAAAACAAGTTTATCTACTAATAAATCATCAGCATTGTGGTTTTAGTACAGTGGGCAAAAAACAGTAATTACTCAAAATAAAAATGCCTAACATGTTTCACATTCAAATATGCTGATTAGTCATATTCACATGCTTATTAACTATAAATAAACAACGTGTCTGAGTGTTATACACATTAATTGCCAGATTTTACTATTAACATGACGTACAGTCATACATTTTTTTAATGACACAGAGGCTATTATGCTGCACTCTTTCTTTATTTCCCTCAGCAGCAAAGAAAAATAACATTAAAATCATTATATTAATACATATATAACATTCCTTTCCTTGGTGTAATAAGGTACCCAATAAACCACTCCCTCTTTCTTGCAAACAAGACAATTAACCCCTTAAGGACCGCGGATGTATGAGGTACGTCCGACAAAAAACGGTCCTTAAGGACCGCGGACGTACCTTATACGTCCGCGGCTAATTTGAGCGCTGGAACATGTTGAGGCATCGTACAATACCCCCCTCACTGCCGGGCACCCGAGTGATCGCTCCCTCCGGAGCGATCACTTACGGGTTGCCAAACGTGGCACCCGGCAGTGTACAGCAGAGCATCGGAAGCCATCAGGTAGGCTTCTGATGCTCTGCCTGTACTGAGTGCCTCGAGGGGTCGAGGCACTCTGTTAAAATAAATAATAATTATTTTTTTAAAATAATAAATTAATAAAAAAAATTAAAAATGTAACCTACCCTCCCTCTCCCTCCCCATGTACTTACCGATCGCCGCCGGCGATCGATTTTCTCAAAAACCCCAGGGGCCATGTGACCGCACTAAAAGAGCAGTCACATGGCCGCAATAGGTGTCCACAGTGCTGCCAGCAGGGGGGCTGCCTGAACGGACAGGCAGTCCCCCTGCGGGAGAAAAAAGTTTTAAAAGAGTTTTTAAAAAGTTTAAAAAAATAAAGTTAATAAAAAAAATTAAAATTAAAATAAATAAATATATATATATATAATATGTATATATCTTATATATAATGTCATACTAAGTGTATTTTTTTATTAATACATACATATATTAATATAAAAGTACACTTAGAGTATAATTACACACGTATATATATATTTATGTATTTCCCCTTAACCCCTTAAGGACCAAACTTCTGGAATAAAATGGAATCATGATATGTCACACATGTCATGTGTCCTTAAGAGGGTAATGACCGTGGACGTACTAGGTATGTACGACAAAAAACGGTTGTTAAGGACCGCGGACATACTAGGAGCCCTGGACTTACCTGGACCAGTGATCCGCGGCGATCACGGTCAGGAGGGACTGCCGGTGACCCCAGCAGTTCCCCAGCAGCAGTTCCGGCCTCCCCGGCCCTCCAGGGCCATGTGATCACCATGATCACATCGCCGCAATAGGACTCTAGGAGCAGCCAGCAGGGGGACTGTCGGAGCTGAACAATAATTAATAAATAAATATATTATACATATATTGTAAAATAATTAAAGTTTTTTTATAATATATTATACATATTTAATGCATATGTATGATTTCATTATAAGTGTACTTTGAGATATATACACATATATATGCATTATT